CCTCTGCTGCGCCGCGGCGCTGCGCTGGTGGCCGTGGTGACCGGCGCCGCCGTGTCTGGGGTCGTGGGGCCAGCAGCATCGGGGGCGGCAAAGAGGGGGGTGATGACTAGGGGGGGTGGATATCATGGCGGGGGCCATGATACCTCCCAAGATCTCATGGCGCCTCTTCTTCCTTCATTACGTCCCCGCCCCCCTGGGCCGCGCACATGCCGCCGGCCATGATTTGCGGCCCCGCCTCTTGGACGCCCCCCTCTTGGCCGCCCCCGACAGCACCCACGAGCGCGGAGGCAACCGAGGAGGACAGGCCTGAGCTTCTGCTGCTCGATGCATTCCGGCGCTCGCGGCCCCTGGCCACTGCCCTGAGGTCTGGCCGGCCCTTGGTGGTCGACTTTTCCGCCACGTGGTGCCCAGATTGCCTCACGAGCGCCCCCGTCATGCGCGAGCTGGAGCGGAGGTTCGGCAGTGACGTGGAGTTTGTGACGGTGGATTGCAGTTCGCTGGCAACAGCCGAGGCCGAGACGCAGTGGTGGGCCCAGCAGTTCCGCGTAGACGCCATTCCGCACGTCGCCTTCGTGGACGCGCAGGGCAAGGTGCTGACCGCGCTCCTGGGCTTCGTGCCCTCGGAGTATCTGGAAGCGAACGTGCAGGCGCTGAAGGATGGCCAGGGCATGCCGTACGCCGTGCGCATAGCAGGCCCTGGACCACTGATCGGGAGTCTCTCGGGCCGCTGGTCCCGCCGATCTCTCGGGATCGGCGCGGCCGATCGGGCCCCCAGTCATCGATCGGCACGACAGACCACCACGGCACGAAGCTCTCCGCCGTGGGGGGGCTCCGATTGCAAACTCCACACCCCAACAGTTCGCCATGGGCGTGACCCTTCCAGCCGCCCAGTGACAGACGTCGCTCGCTGTGGGGAACTTTGGTTCGTGATGCCTGTCGTCCCTCGTGGACCTCCGACGTCGTACAGTTGTGCGAGACGCGCGCCCCCGGAGCACTCGACCCCTTCCCCAGGGCCAAGGTGCTGCGGTGGCCCGCTTTTGGCAGTCGGGGCTTGTGGGGCAACCCCCCCGACAGCGAGCTCGTGAAGAAACGGCCGTCGTGATATTTGAACGCCTGGAGGTCCTGGTTTTCCTGCCGGGAGCAGCAGGGCGCCCCACATTTCGGCACTTGGTCGGGCCGGACCGGACCTGCGGGGTTGAGGGCGTGCATTTGAGGTAATGTACGACGCGTTCAAGGGTGGGCGCGAGCTGATGCCGCCCGCCACGGGCTGAGGAGGAGGAGGAGGAGGAGGAGGAGGAGGAGGAGGAGGAGGAGGAGGAGGAGGAGGAGGAGGAGGAGGAGGAGGAGGAGGGGGAGGAGGGAGGAGGAGGAGGAGGAGGAGGAGGAGGAGGGGGAGGAGGAGGAGGAGGAGGTGGAGGAGGAGGAGGAGGGGAAGAAGGAGGAGAGGAGGAGGAGGGGGAAGAGGATGGGGAGGTTGAAGGGAGGAGCAGCAGAAGCGGCATGACGAGGAGGGGTGCGACCCGTCTTCTGCCCTCCCTCGTCCTCACCCTATCTCCTCCCTGTTCTCCCGTTATCCTCGTCCTTATCCTATGCTCTTGTTGTCCACCTCTCGCTCGGTTTACGCATGAGCAGAGGAGGACGAGGAGATGGAGGAGGGTGGAGGAGGAGGAGGAGGAGGAGGAGAAGGAGGAAGAGGCAGGACAGAAGAAGGGGAGGAATGGAGGAGGGTGAAGGAGGAGGAGGAGGAGGAGGGCCGAGGACAGCGGAGGACAGCGGAGGACGCGGAGGACGAGGAGGAGGGGAGGAGGAGGAAGAGGAGGAGAGGAGGAGGAGGAGGAGGAGGAGGAGGACGAGGAGGAGGAGGAGGAGGAGGAGGAGAAGAGGATAGAGGAGGAGATGGAGGAGGGTGAGGAGGAGGAGGAGGAGGAGGAGGAGGAGGGGAGGAGGAGGAGGAGGAGGGTGAGGAGCTCCCGATGGGGCCACGAAGCGTGTGGGGGTGTACCAAAACAGAGACGTGCGGAGGGCAGGTGCACAGTGGCGGAGGAGAGGAGGAGGAGGAGGAGGAGGAGGAGGAGGAGGAGGAGGAGGAGGAGGAGGAGGAGGAGGAGGAGGATAGAGGAGGAGATGGAGGAGGGTGAAGGAGGAGGATGATGATGAGGAGGAGGAGGAGGAGGGTGAAGGAGGAGGAGGAGGAGGAGGAGGAGGAGGGTGGAAAAGGAATGGTGGCGGAGGAAGATGAAGGGGGGATGAGTGTGGACAAGAGGGGGGAGGGAGCAGGAGGGGAGCAGCAGGAGGGGGAGGAGACTGTGGAGGAGGAGGAGGCCGGCGACGAGGAGGACGTGCTCGGGCGTCTCCGCGCGCCAGTGCTGGGAGCGACTTCAACCTTTTGTGAACACGGCGCTCCCGACCGTGGCCGCCGACGCCCAGACTCGCGGCGTCCCGCGCGCGCGTCGGCAGAAAAACAGAGCACGTCGGCAGAGAGCAAGTCGTCGCTGGAGCTGGCGGGCACGACGATGTAAGATTGAGTCGGGCATGTCCCTCTACAGGAGGAATATTTTATAATAGTTTTAAAACTAGTATGGGGACGATGTTCTGAGTACTTTAGAGTCTGTTTTGAAGCCTTTGTTCTACTATTCTTCATTTGTCGTCCAAAATCCGGCGGTAGGGGGACACGCCGGACCTAAACTTAAGAGCCTCAACAGGGAGCGCAGGATACCTGCCAGCACGGTGCTCCCGTGCTGGAGGCGGGAGGGAGATGGAGGAACACCAGGGAGGAGGGGGGGCAGAAGGAAGCAGGAGAGAGGAGGTAGGAGGTAGGAGGAGGAGGAGGAGGACGACGACGACGACGAGGAGGAGGAGGAGGACGACGAGGAGGAGGAGGGGAGCAGAGAGAAGAGAGAGGGAAGGGTTGGAGGGAAGGTGGGCGTGGGGTCGATACCGATGCTGGCGTCTGTCTGGGAGCCTCGGGCAGGGTCCCGTATCCAACGAAGCCGTTTGGATGCCGATGTGGTCCTGTTGGCCAGCCCCCGCGAAACGCATTGGGAGCGTGGCGGGCATCTCCTTCGGGTGCAAACAGACAACCAGCAGATGGCGGGGCTTTTCGGCGGGAGGGCACAAATGAAAGGCGTTTTCTGGCGGCCTCTTTGCGTTCGCATGTGTCGTAATCTGTAACGTCTCTGGTTGGAAGGGATACGGCTGCTTACTTCAATTCCGATGTCATCAATGGAGACCACCGTAGGTACAAGTCACTGGCAGACAATGGTGCTAACGTTGCTTTGGACGGGAAGGAGCCGTGTCAACCACCGATGCCGGATACCTCGCGCGTGCTTAAACGGAGGGCGCCAAATTCAGGGTTTGTGTCGACGACGCCCGGCGTGGCAGTGGAGATTATGCCGCTGATGTAGCAATCGTGGCGTATTATCGTGACGGCACACACGCAGTTGCCCATCGAGGGGGCGAGTTGTTTGGATCATCACCGTCTGCATGTATGGCTGAAGCACTCGCTCTGTAGTGGGCCTCGAGACTTTCGCACACGTGCGCACTAGTGGAGTGGATTTGGGAAGAGAGCATACAGAGTAAAGCAAGCGTCTGCGCGCACCTCATTGCGCAACTGAAGAATAATGAGGGCGTCGGAATGGAGTGATCGGGAAGATCATGGGTCTGGGAGGGGCAGGGGCAGCGGACGAGCGGCGATATGAGATGAAGGGGGATGCAGGGTCGAAGTTTGAGATGGGGAGGTGCCACTCCCTGCAGCTCATGCCTGGTCCACGGCCTTGCCTCTATTCCTCCTCCCTTCGCCTTTGGATTAGCTCTTGCAGTTCTAGCCTCGAGGGAGGGGGATATAGCTTCGAGATCAAGTTCATTCCAAAGTCCCCTCCTTATCCCCCACATTCTTGAGGATGACGAAGAAGGGTCGGGGCCGCCATGCGAATCCTGCCACTGGGGCCTTCGGTGGAGCTCGCTATGGGGCCACGAAACGTGTGAGGGGTGAGCCGAAATGGGGCGGGGCCGCCATGCGAACCCTGCCACTGGAGCCTATTCGGAGGAGCTCCCTATGGGACCACACGAAACATGTGAGGGGTGTGCCGAAATGCGGCGGGGCCGCCATGCGATCCCTGCCATTGGGGCCTTCGGTGGAGCTCCCTATGGGGCCACGAAGCGTGTGAGGGGTTTACCGAAACAGAGACGTGCGGAGGGCAGGGGCACAGAGGCGGAGGAGGAGGAGGAGGAGGAGGAGGAAGAGGAGGAGGAGGAGGAGGAGGAGGAGGAGGAGGAGGAGAGCAGTGGAGAGGGACGCGGGGCGCTGTCTCTTCAAAACGACGACCCAACACCACGGGAAGGCTGGGAAAAGCATGCTGTCGGCTTCGGGCCTCGGCGCTCGGCGTGCGGGCGCCAGCGGGGCCCAGAGCTCGGCAGCGTGGCGCCCCCAAAAAGCCTGGTGCGGAGGGCCCGTGCGCGCGTGCGCTCTCGGCCCTGGGGGCCGGGGCACGGCCCAGGGGCGCCGTCGAGCTCGAGGGGGCTCGGTGGCGTGGGCAGTCGCAGGCGATCCCGCACCCCCAACTACTCCTCCTCCTCCTCTCCCTCCTCCTCCTCCTCCTCCTCCTCCTCCTCCTCCTCCTCCTCCTCCTCCTGAATCCCAGACTTTCCCCCGAAAGGTGTTGCCGCTGAGACAGGGGGAGGGGGGACTCGGGGAGACACCTCCCGGGGCACGCTCGGACGCGCCCCTGTCGAGGATGGGTGCCCCCCCTTCGTATATGCCTCGAGTTTGGGCCCGAATGGCCACGGCGCCCGATGCATCCTCCAGATCCGCTGGACCTCAGAGATTCCCGACGTATCCCCACCCGATCTCATCCCCGCCCTGGCTTCGGCTTGCTTCCCCCCTTCCCCCACCCCTCCTGTGCGCGTCCCGAGCAAGGGACGCCCAGAGGACGAAACTGGGGGCCACTGGCCGCCGTGCACGCCCCCTCGGCGACGGGCGGCGCGCGGGCGCGTGTTCCGAGGCAAAGAGCAGCTCGTGCGCGAGCGGGGCGCCACGGAGGCCGCCACGCTGCAGGCGCGCGCGCGGGCGCCGCGGCGGCGGCGGCAGCGAGCGACGGACAGCAGCGGCGGCGAGCGGCGAACGGGACGACGATCTCCTGCACATGCAGACATTTCTCGCGGCCGTGCTTGGAGAGCAGAGTGGAGACCCATGCCAAGGAGCACCCTGCTTGCCTCCAGGGTGCTCCTGGTTTCTTGGGTGTCGACGGTTTTGCGATGTAGAGCGTGACGTTCCCACACAAAAGATCAATGGACGTCCTGGGGTCTGAAGGTTGGGTTTCTTGTGGAAGGTTTCTTGTGATCGAGCTCCTACTGTAAATCCTGTGGTGTGCTGTGGTCTGGGACCACGAGCGTCGACGAGCGCCAACGGACGACGACGGACGACGGCGACGGCGACAACGAGGACGGTGCCGCCGAGGGTCTGAAGTCGTCTGCTCTCTCTCTGTATTTGGGGGGTCTTTGGGTGCCCCCGGACAGCGAACGACGACGACGGCGACGACGAGCACGATGCCGACGGTCGTTGCATTTCGTGGCGCGTTCCTGGTGATGTCCAGGGATCGTTTTTGAGGGCAGCGGTGACGCGAACAAGAACGGTGACGGTCGACTGCGACGACGATGACGACGTCGACTAATCATTGCGTTGTATGTTGTTTCGCTGGTTCTTGTCAGGACGCGCTCCTGGCGAGGTTCAGGGATTGTTTTTCAGGGTAACGGCGTCGCCAACGACAACGACGATGGTTGACGACGGCGACGATGGGGGACGACGACGGCGATGGCCGACGACGACGATTGAGGACGACGATGTCAATGGGCGGCGGCGACGGGGTCGGCGGCGACGTCGGACGACGACGGACGACAACGATGACTATGACGACGACGATGAGAACGACGTCGTCAGACGACGACGGCGTCGGACGACGACGGCGACCGAGGACGAACGACGACGGGAGATACGACGACGAGAATGACGACCAGGATGTTGTGCCACTTCGCTACGACGGTGCCCCCGTTTAGTTTTAGCTTCTTCCGCCCGCGCAAACGGCCCCTGCCCAGCCGCCGACGCAATCGGGCGCCCTCGCGAGCGCAGCGCTGGGCCCGCCACGGGAAGCCCTGGTCGGGGCAGAGCGCGCTCCTGGAGCGGCTCGGGGTCCGTTGTGAGGCCGACGGCGGCGATGGCACCGACGCACGCGACAACGACGCGCGCGACGGCGAGGGCGACGGTCGCCCGTCGACGACGACGGCGAGGAACACGACGTCGACGTGATTGAAACGAGACGACCTCCGACGACGCTGACGAACGACCACGACGGTGACGAGGACAATCACGAGGTTGACCACGGCGATCACGGCGAACGGCGACGAAGAGGGCGACGCCGACGAATGTGGACGACGATGGCAGACGGCGGACGACGGAGACGACGACGGACGACGACGACGACGACGTTGACGACGACGGCGTTGACGACGACGACGACGACGACGACGACGACGACGACGACGGACGACGACGACGACGACGACGACGACGGCGTTGATGACGGCGTTGACGACGACGACGACGGCGTCGGCGACGACGACGACGACGACGGACGACGACCCAGACTTGTCCGCCACGATGTCACCACGGTCCGCGGGCGGCACGGGTGGAGGAGAGGGAGGCGGAGGAGGAGAAGGTGGAGGAGGAGGAGGAGGTGGAGGAGGGGGGGGAGGGGGAGGAGGAGGAGGAGGAGGAGGAGGAGGAGGAGGAGGAGGAGGAGGAGGAGGAGGAGGAGGAGGAGGAGGAGGAGGAGGAGAGGCCAGGATGGAGTAATACGTAGCACCCCGCAGTCGCGGATAAGATCGAGGGGGCGGCGGGGATGTTTGCAGTCTGCGAGGCTCTGAAAAAACCCGCCGCATGCGCCAACTTTTTTTTCCTCCAAAAAATTGAATGAGCCCGCCTCAGGCGCCGATTTTTCGTGAAAGCAATGCGTGTGGGTCGCGGGTGCGTCGCGGGTAGGTCGCGGTTGGGTCTCGGGCCGGGTCGCGGGTGGGTCGTGGGCGGCTCGCGGGGTGGCTCGCGGGTGGGTCGCGGGCGGGTCGCGGGGTGGGTCTCAGGTGGGTCGCGGGTGTGTCGCGGGGTGGGTCTTTGGTGGTCGCGGGTGGGTCGCGGAATGGGTCGCGGGTGGGTCGCGGGCCGGGTCGCGGGGCGGACGGCGCCAAACAACAGCAACAACAATTACAACAATAACAACAATACACTTTCTATTACGAATAAACATAATAATTACTCACTGCGTGGAGCTCCCCATATGTGCATCTCATGTTTTATTCCCCATATCCTAAGATGGGGTTTTTGTTATTACTTGGACGCCTCATACTGCCTCTCCCTCCTCTTTCCTCCTCTCCTCCTCATACTCAGACTTACTCATACTCAGACTTACTCATACTCGAAAGAGCGTGTTCTACCGCTGCTGGCGGAAAACCGGGGGGGGTCACTACCGGTTCGAACCCCTCCCCCCCCCCCCCCCCCCCTCCGGAAAAACCGGGGGGGGTCACTACCGGTTCGAACCCCTCCCCCCCCCCCCCCCCTGCTCATCATGAAAAGGGGGGGGGGTCACTACCGGTTCGAACCCCTCCCCCCCCCCCCTCCGGATCCGGAAAACCGGGGGGGGTCACTACCGGTTCGAACCCCCCCCCCCCTCGAAAACCGAGTGGGGGTGCGGACAGTGGTGGGGACGGTGTTGGTGGGGACAGTGGTGAGGGGATAGCGGGACAGTGGTGGGGACAGTGGGACAGTGGGACAGTGGTGGGGACGGTAGTGGTGGGGACAGTGGTGGGGACAATGGTGGGAACAGGGGGGGACAGTGGACAGTGGTGGTGACGGTGGTGGTGGGGACAGTGGTGTGGGGACAATGGGAATGAGGTGGAAACAGTGGGACAGTGGAGGGTACAATGGTGGTGGGGACAGTGGTGAAGGCGGTGGCGAGGACGGCGGTGGGACAATGGGACAGAGGTACAGTGGGGACAGTGGTGGGGACAGTGGGGACAGTGGTGGGAACAGTGGGACAGCTCAGTGGGACAGCGGAGGAGTCAGTGGGACAGTGGGGACAGTGGGGATAGTCGGGCAGTGGTTGGGGCCGTGGAGACAGTGGGGAGAGTGGTGGAACCGTGGTGGGAACAGTTCTGGGGACAGCGGGGACAGTGCGACAGTGGTGGGGCCACTGGTGGGGACACTAGGGGCGGTGGTGGAACCAGTGGGGACAGCGGTGGTGAGGACAGTGGTGCTGGGAACACCATTGGGGGATGTGATGCGGACGGTGGTGGGGACCGGGAGTCGTTTGCTGGCGGTGGGTAGGGGGGGGGGGGGGGGGGGGGGGGTTCGAACCGGTAGTGACCCCCCGGTTTTCCGGATCCGGAGGGAGGGGGGGGGGGGGGAGGGGTTCGAACCGGTAGTGACCCCCCCCGGTTTTCGAGGGGGAGGGGGGAGGGGGGGGGGTTAGGGGAGGGGGGGGTTTTGCCGGGGGAAGGAGGGGGGGTTCCAGCAGGGGGGGGGGATTTTCGGAGGGGGGGGGGGGCGACCCCCGGGTTCCGGAGGAAAAGGTTGGCAATTTTAAAAGAAAAGGTTGGCAATTTTCCACAGTAGAGCGGCGGTGGATCACGCTCTCTCTCATACTCAGACCTACTCGTTACCGGTTCCGTCGCCGTTGTTCTCCCGGTCCCAGCTCAGGATCCTGGAGCCGTTTTTCGCCGTTTCTGGCCGCTTTTTCGGGAACGATGAAAAAACAGTTTTGCCGTTTCCCGGGCCCACTAAGGCTCCTCCTCGCTCTCGCGCGCCGTCCCCAGGCATCGCTCGCGCAGGAGCTCTACTCTGCCCTGTTCGGGTGGCTCACCCGCCTGGTGGCGCGAGGCATCGCGCCGCCGAGCCTCTCCGGCAACGGCCAGGGCGCCTCTGAGCCGGGCGGTTGCCAGCTCGGCCTGCTGGATCTCTACGGCTTCGAGGTCTTCAGGGGATGAACACACGCGCGTACGCGCACACACACAAACACATGGACATACGCACTCAGACACGCACAAACACCCACACACAAACTCACTCACTCACTTTCACACACACAAACAAACCGAGACACACACACACACACACGCACACATGCGCACACACAAACACGCAAACATACGCTGACACACACACACACACACACACACGCACACGCACACGCACACGCCCACGCACAAACGCACACACAAACACACACAAACACACACAAAAGCAAACATACACACACGGATGTCATCCTTTTGTTGTTTAGGAGGCATATGTTGGGTCCTTGATCGCCTCGGCTGGATTTGATTCGAGGTGTTTGGCAAGAGCGCACAATGGGAGAGGTCTGGGGAGCGGCGGCATTGGTATCGAAGACGCCTTCGTCAAATCACCGCCGCCCCCTGCCTTTTGGAATCGCCCATGAGGCCGAGCGTTGTGGCAAGAGCTCTGCCAAGCTATCGGACCATGTGTTCCTCCAGCCGCTGTGATTGAAACCCTTCGGGCAACACTTGGGGGAGGAAGGCGGAGAATATCAGGAAGAGGAGGAGGAGAAGGACGAGGAGGAAGATGATGAGTTGGAGGAGGGGGCAACTTGGGAGCCTTTGGGGGCACTCTTGGGGCCTCCTGGGAGCTTCCTGGGAGTTTTTTTGATACCTCTTGGGGCCTCCTTGGGCCTCTTGGGGGCTTCTGGGGGCCTCTCGAGGGCGTGCTTGGCCGTCTTACGCGGGACATTCCTGGTCCGTCAGGCGCCGTCGGAAGCCGTCTTGGGGGCCTCTCTGGGTCGACTTGGATGCTACCTTAGGCGTCCTTGAGGTCTCTTGGACCGTCTTGGGGGCCTCTTGGGCCCGTCTTGGGGGCCTCTTGGGCCGTTCTGGGGCCATCTTGGAGGCGTCTTGGGCGATCTAGGGTCGATCTTGGGGGGCTCTTGGGCCGTCTCGGGCCGTCGGAAGGCCGAAAGGAAGCACGTGCCAACATCTTCCAACACCATTGTGACAATCAATGCTGTTGGCCTCTTCGGGCCTTCTGGAGGCCCTCATGGAGCCATCTTGGGCCGTCTTGGTGGCCTCATGGCCCGCCTGACGCCGTCGGAAGCCGTCTTTGGGGCCCTCGTGTGGTGCTCCAGGGCCGCCTTGGATGCCATCTTAGGCGTCTTTGAGGTCTCTTGGGACGTCTTGGGGCCGTCTTGAGGCTGTCTTGGGGGGCCTCTTCGCCGTTCTGGGGCCATCTTGGAGGCGTCTTGGGCGATCTTGGGTCGATCTTGGGGGGCTCCCGGGCCGTCGGAAGGCCGAAAAGAAACACATGCCAACATCCTTCAACACCATCGAGATAATCAATGCTGTCGGCCTCTTCGGGCCTTCCTGGAGGCTCTCGCGGAGCCATCTTGGGCCGTCTTGGTGGCCTCATTGCCCGTCGGAAGCCGCCTTGGGGGCCCTCGTGTGGTGCTCCAGGGCCGCCTTGGATGCCATCTTGGGCATTTTGGATGCCTCTTGGGCCGTCTTGGGGCTCCTTGGGGCCGTCTTGGGGGCGGCCTCTTGGGGCCGTTCTATAGGGCCCTCTTGGAGGCTATTTTGGGCGATCTGTGGGGGCCATCTTGGAGGCCTCTTGGGCCCTCCCGGGCCGTCGGAAGGCCGAGAAGAAGCAGATGCCAACATCGGTCAAACACCGAAGGACCATCACTGTTGTTGCTTCGGGCATTCCTGGAGGCCCTCTTGGACGCTTCTGGGGCCGTCTTGAAGACCTCTTTAGGGCCTCTTTGGGCTGTTTGGGGCCATTTTGGGGTCATCTTGGGGCCGTCTCGGTTGCCTCCTGGCCCGCCTTACGCCGTCGGGAGCCGTCTTAGGGGGCCCCTCTGGGCCGGCTTGGGGCCCTCTTCGGGTGCTCCAGGGCCGTCTTGGAGGCCATCTTAGGCGTCTTGGAGGCCTCATGGGCCGTCTTGGGGCTCCTTGGGGCCGTCTTGGCGGCCTCTTGGGCCGTTCTGGGGCCATCTTGGAGGCCTTTCGGGTGATCTTTGGGGGCTCTTGGGCCGTCTCGGGCCGTCGGAAGGCCGAAGAGCAGGACATGCCAAAATCTGTCAAACACGTAAGAAGAATCAATATGTTGGCCTCTTCGGGTCTTCCTGGGAAACCTCTTGCAGGCCTCTTGGGCCGTTTTGGAGGCCTCTTGGTGCCTCTTGGGCCGTCTTTGGCCATCTTGGGCCGTCTTGGAAGCTTCTTGGGCGGACTTGGATACACCTTTGACCCTCTTTGACCGTCTTGGAGGCCATCTTGGACCATCTTGTGGGCGAACTTGGAGGCCTTCGTGGACCATCTTAGCCGTCTTGGAGGCCATCATGGGGCCATCTTGGACAAGAAAAAACCGACGGAGTGTACTTTTTCGGCGGGCTTTCGAGCGGCCAGCGCGCTGTGCTGGAGCCCCAGGGGGAGTCCCCAAACCGTATAGGGTTCAGCACGCCATGACCCCCTGCCGCAAGTCAACATGGGGCGGCGGTGCGAAGACGCATACGGCGAATCACGGCCGCCCCCTGCCGTTAGAAAGCGCCCATGCTGCCAAACGTTAGGCCGAAGTATGGCCAGGCTATTGGGGGATGTGTTCCCCCAGCCGTTTTGGGGGAAACGCTGGGGAGAGGCAAAGGATGAGGAGAGGGAGGAATTGGAGGAGGAGGAGGAGGAGGAGGAGGAATAAGAGGAGGCCTCTTGATGCCCTCTTGGGGCCTCCTGGGGGCTTCTGGAAGCCTTTTGGATGGGTTTTAAGGGGGCCCTTCGCTCCAGACCCCAGTCTGCCGACGAGGCCCCCGAGATCGCTCCAAGAGGCCCAGAGGGCGCCCGAAAGGGCCCACGACGGCCCGAGAGAGGCCCCCGACAGCCTCAGCTGACCCCATGAGCTCCACGGGAGGGCTCCGCACGGCCAGAGGGAGCCCTGCGACAGCCCAGCGGTGCACCCGGGCCGCCCCACTTGGGCTTGGGAGCCCCGCTGGGCTGTCACGGGGCCCTCTCGGGCCGTCGGAGGTCCCCCTTGGAGCGTGCATGGGGCCATGTGAGGCCGTCCTGGGCCTCTCTGAAGCCGCCGTGGGCCCTCCTGGGAGGCGTTCGGGCGCCCCTTGGCCCGTGGGCCCTCCTGGAGCGACCTCGGGAACCTCGTGGGCCACCCCGTTCTGCCGTAACCGGCTCCCTTCGTCCCGCGCGCCCTCAGGCCCCCGGAAACCAGGACACAGATAAACCAGGACACGGAAAACCAAGGAAACGACATCGTTTCCTGCAAAGTTACGTTTTTCAGCACCCGTGCATGTTTTGTTTGCTGCACTGCAGGATTCGGGATTGTGTCCGGGTTTAGGGGGGTCTTGCAGGCTTTTTGAGGCCTGTGTCCGGGTTTATTCTGGAAATGTTGCAGTGCAGCATTTAGTCCGTGCCGCCGTTTGGAAAAATTGTTTTCGAGGGGTGTTGGGTGTCCGGGTCTAGCGTGTCCGGGTCTACGGGGCCCTGACGCCCTTTCCCTGCCCCTCTTCGCCGCGTCCAGCCCACTTTTCTTCGTCTACTCGGCCGCCCTCCCATCGCCCGCCGCCCGTCTGCCATCGGTTCCATGCAACGCTGTCGCATCCGCCCTGCTGCTTCGCCCTCATCGCTTCCCATCGTCATTTTTTTTCCAGCGATGTCGGCCCTTTTTCTGTCGCCGCGACAGGTGGCCCAGCAACAAAAACACAAGCGCCTCGCCCCCTCGCGCCACGGTCACCCAGCAACATTATCAACACCCTGTTCGACACTTCCGCCATGTTTTTTTGTTCAGCATGTCACATGTCTTTGTTTTGTTAAGGCAAACAGGCGGCGTTTGAAACGCGCCAGTCGACCTAATCTCAGTGGGCGCAGCAAATTCGCTGTATCTTGTTTATAAAAGCTGAAAGATTGAAAACAAGTTGGGGACATATTCCAAAATAGCGGAGCAAAGAGTTGCCAAAATAGTTGCGGAACAATTGAAGGAACATTGAAACTCATTGCTCGCGCCAGTCCAAGTCGAAGCGGCGGCCCTCATCGCTCGCGAGCACGCCGATCCGTTGACATATTCGCCCCCCCCCCCCGGTGGAGGGGAAATGTGGGACTATGTGGGGGCCTTCTATTTCTCTCTCTCTCTCTCTCTTTATCTCTTCCTCCCTCTCTCTTTCTCTCTGTCTCTCTCTCTCTCTCCATGGATGGGCACATCTCTAATATAAGCCTACGAAGGGTGGGCCCACCTCTACGGGATTCATATTAAGGGTGAATGCATCAGTGCTAACACCTCTTAGGCCAATCCTTTCAGAGGTGGATCCACCTCCACTGAAGTACTGTTAGGGATGGCGCCACCTGTAATAAAATCCGATTGCACATTGATCCACTTTCAATAACATCCCAATATAAGTGGAGCCACCTCGAATATAATTCCATCTGGGATGGAGCCACCGATAATACGACCTTGTGAGATTTGGATCCCGCCCCAGTGGAATCTCGACCGGGATGACCCCACCTCTAATAGAGTCCTATCAGTGATCAACCCACCTCGACTAGTATGTTTCTAAATTTGGATTCGGTACACCTCGACTAGAATCCTGTTAGAGGTGGAGCGACCTCTAACATAATCCCATTGAGGATGGGGCCACCTGAAAGATGGATCCACTTTCGATTGAAACCGATTGGGGATCGGGTAACCTCTAATAGCATGCTATTAAGGATGGAGCCACTTCTACGGTAATCCCACTGGTGGTGTTGCATTTTCTAATACAGCCCCCAGGACTCCAGCAACTTCTAACAGCGTCCTTATAGCGATGGGCCCACCTTTGTAATCTAGTCGTGTTAGGTATGGCGCCACGTCGAATGCAGTCCGATCAGGGGTATAGCATCTTGTATTATAATATTACTAAGAACGGCGGTGCCTCTAACAGAATCCTAGCAGGTCTGGAGTTACCTACAATATAATCAGATCAGGGGCGAAG